CGCGTTATTTCTAAATATTCCTTTTGATGCTGTTGTAAAAGGAATTATTTACTAATTTCCTTTTAGGATTGTTCATTGCTAATGTGTAGAATGAAGTGCTAAAATGTTTGAAAATCCCTTTGCTTTGACCAAGAATATATCACCTAGAAAGCTAATAAGATACATGATTACCTCAGGCACACTGTGCCTACAGGATGGCTGCTTGTGTAGGTTAGATACCATGTAGCAGTATGTGGTCGCCTTGTGTCTGTTGTGTTGTGTTAAGTCCCTTATTTCTGTTTCCCTCATATGCATCAGCAGAGTACAAAACTCCTGAATTCCGATTATCCAGTAGACTATACACTCTCTACCAGAGTATCAGAACATCTGTTAACGTCTGATTGAGTTTTTGTTGATTCACGTTGTGCTTTTTACTAGTGTTCTAAAGAGATAGGGTGAATAAATTTACTTCAGGGAATTGAGGGTGGGCTAGAGAGTAATATAGTATAGGAACGTTTTTTCATTGTTAAATCAAAAATGTATACTTTGGTCTGTGAGTTAGAATACTGTTGGTATTCTGTCTAAAGGTTTGTCTTCGATTAAGTATTATGTCCATTCCACAGGGCTACGTGCCCACTGTGGCACATAGTTGTGTGTAGGGGCATCTTTAAAACCGTGTGTGATTAGTTCATCCTTCTGAGCAGCTGTGCGATTTCTTTTAAAATTGTAGGTACATTGTTAAAAGTGTTTCTATGCTTACTAAGTTTTGTAATTAGTCACATCTCAAACTGAAGTAAGTTTGGAGACATTGCATTTTTTTTAGAAATCTACAAAATTTAGTTACTTAAATTACTATAAAGTATATCCTGGGACTTGATGATGTAGATTAAAACACCTTTGTTTTATAAAATGCTTTACTTAAATAGCTGTGTTACTTCTGGTGGGGGGTGATGATCTAAGTCCATGTGTTAAAACAAATAGATACACACTGAAATGACCAACAAGCATAATGGGGAGAGTTCAGTCTCCTTGGAAATCCTGGAAGGGTGCCATAACTAAACTAAAAAGAGTTTTGGCAGGAAACAGTACAAATGAGAAACATAGTGAGGTAAGTCCTTACTGGCTGACTTGGTGTTCATTTATGTGATTGAAAAGCCCCCCTGAGATATGAGTAAAGGGACCTACCTTGAGCAGTTAGAGCTAGAATTGAAGGGTGGTCCATATTTTGTACTTTGAAGCAGGGATTTAAAATGGAATGATTCAGAATGGTCTTACCAAGTGAAATATGACCAGTGGAGAGAGACTGGCAATTCATGTTTGCAGGAGAGAGGCTAATAAAGCACAAAGTTGAAACTCCTGCTCTGAAGCTGCCTTCTTTGGCCTGCAACCCTGCTGCCTGACTTCATATTGCTGAACCTATAAGCTGACCAAGGAAGTATGTAGGCATCCTCTGCGGTGTTCCGCAATACTCCCTGCCTCCTAGTATTCATGTTCTTGAATGTAATTCCCTCCCCTTGAGGGTAGCTGGACTTAGTGACTTGCTTCTATACAAGTATGGTAAAAGTGATGGGATGTCACTTTTCGAGGTTAGGTTACAGAAAAAGGCTTTGGCTTCTGTGTTGGGCTGCCCTCTCATTTGCTCTGAGGGAAACCGTCTTCCATTTTGTGAGCTTCCCTGTGGAGCTCACATGGCAAGGAGCTAGTGTTTTTGGCCAACAGCCAGTGAAGACCTGGTGCCTGCCAACAGCTGTGTGCGTGAGCTTGAATTGCAAGCAGATTCTTTCACCATCAGGTTTTGAGATGACAGAGGCCTTGGTTGATACATTGACGCAGCCTTGTGAAAGACCCTGAGCTAGATGCACCCAGCTAAGCCACACTCAAGTTCCTGATCCACAGAAACTGAAATAATACATGTTTGTTGTTTCAAACTGCTAAATTTGGGATTATTTGTTAGGCAGCAATTCAGAAGTAATACAGGAAAAATGTAATCATTCCCCCTCTCCCAAAAAGATTTGAACTTGGTTCTTAATTTTATTTCTAATTGATTGAACCCAACACAGTTTCCAATATTTCATAAACATAGACCTCTTTAAAGCTGAATTCACAAAAAGATAGGCACATATAGGCTCAGTAGTCTGAAAGAAGCTTATCAGTGTGAGCAAGTGATTTCCTATGCAACAGACTTATTGCAACAAACGAGAAAATTGAAATTTAAAGAACAACTAATTAGTATTCTCAAGGAGACTCATGAGTATTTGAAGAAAAAGTTGGAGGGCAGGAAGGAGTTCTTAAGTGAAATTTGTAATTCTTTACTAACTCTTTGGGGGCTTTAGAAATAGTCCCACAATTCAGAGGAAATAACATGAAAATTAAAGACAAAAAATATAAGAAACACAAAGAATAGATCCAGTATGTAATAAAAGTTTAGAGTGAGAGATCAGAGGAAACAGATAAAAGATAAAGTCAGAGAAACAGTAAAAATTTTTCAGAGCCAGCGAACAGACGAAAAGGGCTCGTGGAATATAGTTAACATTTGTTGAACACTTACTATGTGCCAAGTATTTAGCAAGTTGAAGCTCATTTAAAATTCTCTACAATTCCCATGTAGGAGGACCCATTAATATTGTCTTACAGGTATTTGAAGTGCATACCAAACAAAATAAATGAGATCCATACCAAATAGCCTAATGGAATTTAAAATGTAGGATATAGAAATAAATAGTATAAATATCCAGATAAGAAACAGGTTACTTGCATAGGCAGGTATATCAGTTAGGCATTTCCTTTGTCTTCTGTATGGTAGAATTGTACTGTTCAGCTAGTGGTAGCCACTAGCCATGTGTGGTTATTAAGTTAATTAAAATTAAATAAATTCATTTCTTCAATTTCACTGCTCACAGTTTTAAGTACTCTGTAAGTAGCTACATGTGGCTAGTGGCTGCCATGTTTGGACAACGCAGAATAGAACATTTCTGTTAGAGAAAGAAAGTTTTGTTGGATGGTGCAGTGATAAGACAGTGGAGTAACACCTAGAAAACTAAGGGAAAAAGTTATTATAACTAAGACTCTTAAATTGAAACTCTCCTTCACATAGGCAGGACAACAAAATGGCATTTTTCAGGCTTGCAATGATGACTCAAAGCATATCACCCAAGTACTTTCCTTGAAAAACATACCATTCAGTGCACTTACCCAGTCGAGAAATCAGCAGCTCAGAACAATGATCAGTCAGGTTCACAGTCCTGTTTTGTTTAACCCTCTGTTTTCCAGAATAGCTAAAGATGTAAAGGAACATCTTTATGGATGGCACACATAAAGAGGATGCTCTTTAGAAGCCCAACTTTAGACTGTCAATATTGATTTCAGCCTAGGCAGCTCAACTCTAGAGCTGCCACGTCTCACAACTATAAAATAAAGCCACAGAAAACAGGTTTTGTTTTAAGGATTCTAATTCACTGAAATCACCCCAAAAATCTTCATGTCGCTAAATCCAAGTTTTTCACATCTTTATGCACTTTTTTGACACGATTCCACACTGCCTTCTTTCAGAAACGCTTATCTTTGCCTGGCTTCCAGAAAAGTTCTTTCTACCTCACTAGTAGTTCTTGTACAATCTTCTTTCTTAGCTGGTTCCCCCTCTTTAGTGCTAAATGTGGGACAGCCTTATGGCTCAGTGCTTAGACCAGACCTCTTGTGTTTTTTTATCTGTAATCACACACTAGGAAATCACATTTAGTCTTTAAATGCCTTATGTTAGCTGATGATACTCTAATTCTCTCTCTTCTTCCTTCTGTAAACTGCTGTGAAATCTATCTTGCTGCCTATATGACCTTTCTACTTGTATGTCTGCTTGAAAGCAACACAAAGATGTGGAAATGGAACTTTTCGCTCCTTTCTCACCCCAAACCTCTTCTCTGGTGTATTTTTCCCCAGTAAATGGCACTGTCTTTCCTCCATAGTTAGGGCTTGGTTCTAAAACCTTGGAATCATCCTCTGATCATCAGCAAGTTCTAGCAGTGCTATCTTCAAATGTATTCTATATTCATCCTTTATGGTTCCATCTGAATTCAGACCATCGTTATCTTTTGCTTAGGCTTTGCAGTAACTTAGGAACAGTTCTTCCATTTTTGCACTGTATTCACACAACAGATAATCACTTTAAAACATACATTAGAAACCCTCCAGTGGCTTCTTACCACTCATATAACAAATCCACAGTTCTCGACCATGGCCTGTAAGGCTGTATGTTGTCTGGCCTCTGCTGAATGCTCCATCTCCTTTACCACCTTGTTCTGCATTAGTCTTACCAAGTTAAGCAGACTCACTTCTACTTAGGTCCTCTCCTTAGAATACTTTCCCTTACAAGAGTGGATAACTTATTCCCTGTTCATTTTGGTTTTTGCCTGTCACTTCAGAAAGGCACTTTCTTACCACCATACCTGAAATACCACATGTTCCCCCACCACCATTACTTTGTTCTTTTATTGGTATTTATATTTTTATAGTACTTAGCACTACCTTATATATTTTATATTTGTTATTCATTGTTATAATATGCCCCATCACTAAACTGTAAGATGCATGAGGGCAGGGACTTTTTTATCTATCTTATTTAGTCTTGTAGCCCTAAAACCTAGAAATATTAGCACGTAGTAGATAGATGTTCAGTAAAGTATTTGTTGAAGAGATGACTCTCTTAAGAATGAACACAACAAAAATGTACAAGATTTGTAGAAAATAAGACCAGTTTTTAGAATGAAAGAAATAAACTGTTCGAGTAAGTGGAGAAAACAAAACCTTAAATGTTTGATTCTCTTTTTCAGTGAGATTCATGAAAGAAATTGCATCTTTGAAAATGGAATCATGTGAGAATAATTTCAGATCATTTGAAAAAAACATGATTATAATTGTTTAAAATGGAAACATGAATTGCAGTGTAAATACAGTTGAAAACAAGATCAGGAAGTTACCTCCTTGAGCACACTAGCTGCCAGAGCCAAGAGGAGAAGGGTAAAAGGAAGAGAGGAGCGAAGCGTTGTCTTGACGTTTCTTTGTGTAATAGCATATGATGTATTTCCTTGTTTAAGAGTTTTGGTGAAGTCGTTCATGATACAGTCTTTCGTATTATTTACCCACTGGATATTAACTTTTTTTTGAACCTGAAGTTGTACCTGCCATTTAGATGCTGTTAAATAATACTTGATGTAAGGTAAATATTATTTATTATGGTATCAAGTACATTCAGCCAGCACGAGGACCTGGGTGTTGTTACTGCTTTCATCGTTAGTGCTCCACAGCTTATCAATGATCAAGTCTTTATATACTTTATAAATGTATTTTCAAATCTGTACATTCTGTTCCCTCTTTTGCCTTTATACTTTAGTTTCTTCCTCTGTTAAATGGATATATTAATATAACCAACTCTATAGGTTTCTTGTGAAGATTACATACCTAACATACTATAAGTGCATTTCAAATATTGGCTAATTATGATATTGTTACTGTACTATACTGGATTAGATCACTGTCATTGTGTACCAGGATTTCCAGAGTAACTCCATATTGGTCTTCATACTTCTACTTACCCATCTTCCAGTTCCCAGTCCTCTACTTCACCCTGTTGAATTACTCATATTTCACACTCCCTAATGGGCTCCATGTTGCCATTGGGATAAAGTCGATGAAATTTTCTGTAATGTACCTTAGAGATCTTTAGCCTCTTTCTCTTAATATTCTGCCCCCTTTTACTCAGTTCATAGGTGAGCTGGAGGAATCCTGTCAGAAAACAGATGAGTTGGGTATGACTCTGCCAGGACAAATAGACAGTGAAGTGCTTTCTGGTTCTCGAGCTTGGCCCAAACAATCCTAGTTTATAAAGATTTTAGGCAGATATTTTTAATAACCAGATACCCATTCCGGTTATAAAGATTTTTTAATAAGGCATGCATAGATGTGCAGGAGCTTCTGCAGTACAACTTCTTTGTATAATCTCCATGAGAAACTGCATTATAAGGCAACTTAATGGGGTGATTTGCTTTGTGGAATTAATTATGAGCCAATTAAAAATTGATGAACTCCTAACGAAGATGGTAACTTTAGTTTTAGAATGATTCATTTAGAGCTCTTCTTTTTAACATTATATATAACATTAATACACCAAGGCTTATTTGTTAAGATCACAACCTTTAGACTACATGTATTAGCAACTGTTTATCTTTCTGTTCTTTGTTGCAGGAGGGTATGGTTCCATTCCATTTTATCCAAACATGATATCAGATTATCCAGGAACAAGTTAAAAAGAAGGGAGACTGGTTCCAGAACACATCTCTGGAAATTACCCTATGGACCCTGACTCTCATGGCAACATTACAATGTAGGTTCTGTATGAGCATTTATAGCCAGTGAGTGGTCTTCGTTGAGCTTCTCACATAACATATTCCCGTTCAGAGTCAGGTTTAGAAAAGGTTATAAAGGGCCATTAGCACTTCCTTCATTGTGGGCAATCATGGTATAATCCAGGTGATAAATTACTAAGAGACACAGGAGTGCAGAATCCTATCCTGACCAATCTGGCTTCAGCCTGAGGCCTTTTTGGTGTCTATGCAAAGAAGCAGCAAAACAAGGCATCCTTAACACTTTGTTACCAGTTTGGGCTTTAGCCTCAGGCTGCAGTGATCTAAATTGGATCATGTGGAGAACTTTTTGTTACCTAGGCTAGATTAACTTGAATAGCCTAGAAACAAATGAGGTTAAGTGCTTGTTTCTACTTTGCAACAAGGCCCAAACCCCAGCCAGCATCTTGTTTATCAATGCGCCTACCATGTGCATGTGCCTCATACAGGGCTCATATCTTTGTTTTTCTTGCATGTTTAGCCCTCAAAGCAACTCTATGAGGTAGGTGTTTAAAGATGAGGAAACTGAGTCTTTACGGGGCTGAGTTACTACTTCCTCAGAGTCGTATAGACAGGTGAAGTGGGGATTTGGCAGTCTGACTTCTTGTCATTTCCTGCACAACTTCCTTATAGATGTGACCCCCAGAATGTGCTCCAGTTGTGTTATGGTAATGATCCCTCTGTCCTTGGGGATGGGCCCTGAGTAGGGGGTTAGCCGACTAGAGTTCTTGGGCAGATTTGAGCAGCCTCATCTTAGCTTTATAGTAATGAGCCATACAAATACTATATTGTGGGTGTACCCTGACATGGGGAAGGTAGAGATGCATTGATTGGCCTGCTACCCTGAAAATACCAAGAGTTAGCAAGAGGGAGCATTTGCCTGCAGTGCCTACAGCTACCCTCTTTTCAGGCTACAGTAAGTAATATGCCTAATCAACGCCAAGTGGGAAACAGAATGTTTGAAGAGTCACAGGAGTCTGGAAGGGAGAGAAGAAATGGGTGGGGCCTGCTCCCCCTGGAGCAGGTGAACAAGTTAAGCCTTAGTCACTTCTGAAGCGCAATAAATTCCTAAAGGGATAGCACACGTTTAACTTACTCTTCAGAGTGCCATAATAAAATGTTCTTAAATTTTAAATATACCACATTTGTGGGAGGAGTGTCCTGATCTTTGAGAAAAGTAACAAGAACTTTGGGCTCCCTCTAGAGGTCAACAGTGATAAAAGCGAATCATAGTGATCTATAGGGAAATAACTGTAACTAAAGCTAGCCTACCCCTTTAACAAGAAACTAACATTTTATAGATGCTTTATTCGGTAAAGTATTTTCTTATATTGGGGAGTAATTAGTTACCTTGGAGAAGAAATTTGGCTTAATCATATTCTAATTAGCTGTGTTGGGGCAATACTGAAGTTTGCTATATAGAGTATATATTGAACTAATAAAGGAGAAAATACCCTGAAAAGGGATTGTGTCCAAACAAAATAGCATGCTTCTTAATGGGAACCTTAAATCTGAAACACACTAGGTTAAAATGAGAATTTCTGTGCTCTGGTGTGCCAGAATGACTTGACAGCAGCCCTTGCCTTTAACAGAGATAAAGGTGATCAGTATACCTGCATTGTTCTCACCCTTACCTCCCCAACATCTGAAAGAAAAGCACAGTGAGTACCAGAAGATTGATATGAAATCCAGCTTGCAGGCATATGTCAAAACTTCTCAGAAAGCTAACACACACAGTTTAACTTTTAGTACCCTTGTTTACCAAATGAGACATTATTCCAGAACAGAAATCTTAGTCACAGTAAGATACTTTTCAGAAGTCACTGAGAGAGTTCTTAAAACTTAGTATACAACTATAAAATGAAAGAAATGATTTGTGTTAATACTAAGAATATATGAAATTTACACGTTTTTAAAAGTTCCAGAAGTCTCAAGAAACAGAAGGATGGGAGCATGTCAAAGGGACCTAGGAACCAACCTGAAAGAGCTGTCATTGGCCAAATCTGGAACAGTTTGAGCAACACATTAAATTACATCACGTTTGAGATAAATAGCCATCAGTTTATGCTGATCAATGATTGAATAAATAAATGGGGGAAGGGGATAAAGTTCCCATACAGAAGCACTCCAAATAATTTATGTAGATATTCAAGGTGGTGCTTAACACCCCTCCCATCCCATTCCTTGAATGTGGGCTGTACTTCCGTGGAAAAACCTGGCAAACCGTACCCTGGCCAGATGATCTAGGCTGTCATCAGTAAGTCATATTCATAGGATGTACCCTTGATACGATGTGGTAAGAATAACATTTCACCTTGATCTTCCTGCCAATAACCCGTAATTGTAGTGTGGTCATGAGAAAAACACACCTGACAATTCCAAATTGAGAGACATACCACAAAGTACGTGACCAAGTACTCTTCAGAACTGTCAAGGTCATCAAAAACAAGAAAAGTCGGAGAAACTCTCACAGACTAGAGGTAGCTAAAGAGACATGGTGACTAAATCGAATGTGGGATCCTGGATGGATCCTGAAACTGAAAAGGGACACTAGGGAAAAAACTAGCAAAATCTGGATAAAGTGTGGAGTTTTGTTAATTATAATATTCTATTGTTGGTTCCTTAGTTGTGGTAAATTTACCGGAGTAATGTAAGATGTAAACAATAGGAGAAACTTAGGTGAGGGAATATATGGGAACTCTCTGTAATATCTTTGCAACTCTTCTATAAGTCTAAAGTTATGCTAAAATAAATTTACAGAAAACAAAAAGATTCAGCTCTCTTATATAAGTTGTGTTCAGTGATGTTTGAAAAATGGATTTTTCTGCTATATGTATATGCATTATCAGTTGTGGTTAAGTAAGTTCTGGCTTTTCTGTATAAAAGTTGGGGGAGATCCCATCTCATAAACGTGTAGTGATAATGATAGAGAACATGAGAATTTCTAGCGCCGTGGTTTACTGCTGCAGCAGTGGTGTGAGTTGAGCTGAGCAGAAAGTTATGTGCTTTTTTGGTCTCATTTGTATTCTGATCACAATTGATTGGCTTGTAACTTACTGAAAGTACCTTGAATTTAATCACTATGTTTATGAATTCCAGGTTTAAATCTGGGACCCATTTTTGTCAAGGTGTGATCTCTAGTGGAGATTCATGGTCATGGGTAGAATTATACAGCATTTGCAATATGTTGCTTTAGGTCTTCAGTTCTCTGTAAAGGAAGTTTTTTAATAAAAGCCTGTTTTTCTACAATTGTTCTTGTTATCTTCCTCCCCTAGAAATCTGGAGTTTAAGTGCCTGAACATATGTTGTATATGCTCTGTGAAAGAGTAATTCTCTGAAAAAAGAGATCATCTATTTATGTTTCTTTGCAAATGAGAAAATTGAAGTTCATAAAGATTAAGTGACTTTCTTATGGTCAAAGTATTACTTAAATAGAGCTGAGACTACATCCTCAGCTATCTTGTTGCACTGGCATGATGGCTGATAAAGAGCCAAGGCTTGTAGAAGAAGGGAGAGGATTTCAGGGAAAATTAGAGCAAAATGTGAAAAAATATTGACAGAATTTGAACATTTGATGTTTCTCTTATATTCTCTAATACTTCCGATAATTTAAAGACATTAGTGAACATCTTTATATATTAAAAAATTTTTTTGGATTCAGTAATATGACTTCTGGAACTGACAAAGTTCCAAGGGAATGAATAATTTGTGGCTTTTGATATAAATTATGAAATAATTTTCCAAAGTAGTATATATACTGTCTACAATGTAGGCAAATATCAGTCTTTTGAACAATTTGTATTTTTCCTATAGCTTATGAGATAGAAGATAGTGTCATATTTTTAAAATTTTTTAATTTTATTTGACTCGATGTTTCCTTACATTTTGCCAGTATTCTTCTGTGAATTGTCTTCCTGTGTTGTATGAATTGTTTTTAGAAATACAAGTATTTTTCCTGGTTTACTTGTCTTTAGTTACTGTGCAAAAATTGCATTTTTAAAATTACATCTATAGCCGTTAATCCTTCTGGTGTATTACTACCACTATAGAGATATGTGGATTTAATTCTACACACACATACACCCCCCCTCCCCCAAATGAGCAACATACAGAAGGGCTAAAGGAATGGGGGGAAAAGGAAAGGAGGTTATTTTAGGCAAAGTAGACAATACACCTAAGCTAAAGAAGGCATGAGGGTGGGCATAAGTATATATGAAGGAAGGTGTAAAACATTTAACCTCCCTAGAGAATTTGGTGAATGCTATGCTACTAGAAAGTAAGATTGAAGGAAACTGAATGCCAGTTTTACCCAAAATCTTATGGTACTCCTGTTAGAAGACCTTTGAAAGTCTTAGAACAGGAAAGCATATATTTGATGTCAAACATCAAACTAGGGTTTGGAATGTCTGGGATGAGATTCCAGTGTCTGGATTTTGTTGTTTTCTTATAGTATAATTTACATATAGTTAAATTCATCCTTTTTAGCATAGTTCTTCAAGCTTTGATAAAGTCATATAGTGACAACCACAGTCACTATAAAAAGTTCCATTACTCCAAAAAGTTCCATGTCCCTTTCTTTGTAAATCAGCTTCTACCCCACCTCTAGCCCTTAGCAACCACTGATCTGTTTTCTGTCCTTCAAGTTAAACCTTTTCCAGAATGTCAGATAAATGGAATCATATAGTATGTAGCCTTTTGAATCTGGCTTCTTTTGCTTAGCATAGTGCATTTTGAGTTTTATCCGTGTTACTGTTTGTATCAATAGTTTGTTCTTTTATTGCTAAGTGATGTTTCATTGTATGGATATACCACATTTTGTTTATCCATTCCCAGTTGAGGATCTACTTGGGTCATGTCTAGTTTTTGGCAGTTATAAATAAAGCTGCTATGAACATTTGCATTCAGGTTTTCATGTGAATATAAGTTTTCATTTGACTTGGGTAAATATCTAGTAATGATATTGTTGGGTCACATGGTGTTT